ATGAAAAGACATTTAGATGAGAATCCTATATAGGTTGTAAGGTTGAAGTGGCAGACAAACAATGTATTTTTGAGGGCTTGATTCAGATTTACTCTGACTGTCAATACGTACAACACCAGGCCCTAATTTCTCGAAACAAACTTAAGTCTGAGTTTTGACTTAAGTTTGAGTTTTTACTCAAATTTGAGAAAATTGCATTTCCCAGAATGAACTGAAATTGATATTAAACATAGTAGACAATTTGAGTTTTGTGGATAGATTACTTAAGTTGTTTGGACTTTTTTATTTAAAAAATGCAATTGAGTTAAAAAGTCAGCTTTTTCAAATTGTCAAACTCAGTTTGAAATTTGAGTAAAAACTTAAGTTTGTTTCGAGAAATCGGGGCTAGTTCGTTTAAAGGATCAGCTAATGTTTCTCAGGCTCTAATCAGTTGCCTTGATGGGTTCTAGTTAAAGGGCCCTTGGTCCACAATTTACTGTCCATGCTCAATATCTGTCCAGAATGGCAGATGTTATGCTCAGAGATTATGGAGAAACTTTAACAATGTCTGTTTCTAACTAGGTTGACCATTGACTGCCTGATTTATATACTGCTCAAAATGTGACTTTTCAGACTAACAAATGCGGATTTGAATGACTTAATTCAAATTTAATATGGCTGAAACCTGACCTGAAGTAGTCTCTACTTAACAGCACACATTTGACAGTGTATTTGAAAAGTAGTAGATAGGTATAATTATTTTTTATTCAGAAAGGGGCAGGTTTCAATCATCAGAAATGATTATTACAAGAGTATTGTCTGAATTGACCAAGCACTTATATGGCCAATAACTGTATGGTCAAAGTACTACATTTTGAAATGGTTGGGACTATTGTAGAAATATTGTTCTAACATTTGTGTAAAGATTTCAAGTTTTAACCTTTATGTGCACAGGGGAGTAAGTGTCCCAGTTATCTCAGCCTGACCTCAACTGTGTAGAGTATCTCTTTGCTCTTTGGCATATCAGGTAGCTAAGTTCTTGGGTTGAATTCCAATCCACTCTGATTTAGTCCCTAGATTTGTCAGAACCATATTCATGGGATTCCACAAACATAAATGTCCAAACCTGCATCACTTCGGCCTTTCCTCACATCAACCTGACATGCCATACCATTATGTCAGCAGTTTTAATTTGGAGTCTTCTTATGGATAGTCTCGAGCTTTTGTGAATATATTCCTAGAATGTGCATCATAATGTTTATGCCTTAAAGGTGGAGGTGTGCATGGCCCTGGCATATTGGCATGTTGTCAGCTAGCAAACACTTTCAGTCCTTCGTGTGCCAAAGTCGTTTTTGTCTTTTTCTATTTCCAAATACTGGAAAATGTTAAAAAATGTCGTCTGGAAAAGAAATAAGTGCCAATGGGTTCATACGCCCATTTATTTTAAGCCCAATTTTCCTGTTGAATACCATGAAATAAAAAGATATTGTTTAAATGCCAAGCATTGCATCTGAGAACTTGAACTTCAGTGTGTTCCGAAATGTTAAAAAGAACAAGCTTCCTCAAACCATAGAATTCTTCTCTTCACCTCTTTAAACAAAAATGTGAAAAAGCAAGAATTTCGATTTTAGAAAGTTCAGAAATGTGTTTTAAATTCTCCCAGGTGTTGGGAAAATTGAGAGTGTCTGTGGTATTGATCATGATGGTGGCGTTGGATAATGTCAGCAGTCTGTCAGATGCCATCGCTGACACTGGATACAGCAGGTGTTTGTTGCGGCAAATTCTTCACCATGTGAGGGTCACTTTAAAAAAATAAAAGAATCATGAAGAGTTGTTCTATAGTTAGCCCTTTCTTTATTTACTGATTCTAAAAACTTGAGGATCATTTGACTTCAAAGAAAATTTTGAGTTTTGTAAATCATTTTTAACATATTATTTTGTTTCAAGTTCAAGAATAGTTTCTAAATCACTAATAAGTTTCTTTATTAAACAATAACTGAATTTGTCCATGCAGAAAGTTCTGCTAAGATTCAAATTGCAGTGAAGGAATTGCATATTTTACCTTTTATCAGTATATACAGAAGGTGCTAACAAAGGTGCTCTCAGATGCAAGTGCAGGAACCTGTCCTCTTTCCCTTCCTAACTTGTGTTGAGTTCCTTCCCTTAGCTTTGCCAGGATCCACTGGTTCCGGGATTTGCCTCAGTTAAGATCCTTGGTCTCAGCACCATACCTGAGGTTTGGGTTTGACTTGTATAGTCTTCTTTCACCTGCATCACCTTTTGGTTGTCTCCCAGTATTAGGCTGACATGTATTGTAGATCCTACCTCACTCACGAACCCCATTTCTGGTGTCTCCTGCCGTGATGTTGCTGGAATATTGCTAAAAGTGGCGTAAAACCAAACTCAGTCAGTCACTCACGAACTCTCGAACACATGAACTCACGAACAAACAAACAAACGTTCATTAAAGGTCATCAGATTATTTACAGCTTTATACTTTATTTAATTTGACTCATGATTATGCTGTAGATGGGTCTGGAGACTGGTCAGCATCACACAACAACCATGACAGGCCTGATCTGACCAAGAACTGCATCTAAATAACCACTATCTTTACTTTAAACTGATTAAGATGGATTATTGTAGGTAATTGCACATTCATCCTGCAAGAACAAAGATCATCATGTCTTAGAATGATCAGTGCATCACCATGCACACAATATCACCATGCACACAATATCACCATGCACACAATATCATAATGCTCACAATTTCATCCTACATTTCTGGTGTCCCCCGCCCGGATATTGCTGGAACATTGCTAAAAGCAGTGTAAAACCCAACTCACTCGCTCACTCAATTTCATCCTAAACACAATATCATCATACACACAATATCATCCTCAACACAATATCACCATGCACACAATATCATCCTCAACACAATATCACCATGCACACAATATAATCATGTCTGAGAATGATCAGTGCATCACTTGGACTGCTGGTTGAGTGGGAGAGTAGGCATACAAGACTGACCTTTGACTGATCGAGGATATTAAGTTAGTTGTGTAGAGTTGTGTCCCTTTGATGCTAGGAACAGCTGATCCTGAGTTTGATTTTCACAATCACCCTGAGAGAGATGTAGGTCTGTCATTCCCATACTCACACACACCAGCATGATTACATGAAACATTTAGGAAAAACAACATTTTAATGTCTGTAGCTATGGTGAAAGGCTCCTTCATGCTTCTCTACCTAATGAGGAAGTATGAAGTAGCATTAAAATGCTTAACAAACAGTAATGAAATTGTGAAACATTTTTGTCTTCATGTTATTCCAAGCGAATCGGGCGGTGGGAAGTAGAATTAAAATTGCATCACGCTGAAGACCGGTTCGAATCCCCACATGGGTACAATGTGTGAAGCCCATTTCTGGTGAAACATATTGCTAAAAGCGGCGTCTTCAGTCAGTCATTCCAAACAAATACTACTTGAAGACTACACTGACACCATGCTCCTACCTTCAGCAGAGTGTGATTCCCTAATTTTAAAGTACATGTGATGAGGTTGCAATGCCCATACATAACTTAGCATTCCATGTAATCCGTCACTTAGGGAAAAAATATAAGAATCTGGTACCTAAACAGCTGTATCAGGTGCTCCAACCTTTCGATCTGCAGCATACCTATACCCCCAACATCGCCCCACAGAGGTCAGATAGTACACATCACTTCAAATGCCTATATGCAACTTGACATTGACTTTTCTTATCGTGTGAGAAAAGCCACAAGGTACCACCACATACGCTAATAAATGTTTGGTAAATTTGAAAGTAAGAAATTAGTTGCTCTATATAAAGCCTGATAGGATTTCACAGACCTATTCCGCAGGCACATTTGTTAAATATATCAGTAAAGTTTGGAAGAGTACAATACTATATATGATTTGTTGTTAGGGAGATAGCCTTCTTGGTCATTAGGGAAATAGTATGGTGAAGCAATATGTGTAAAATGTTAGGCATTGTGATATGAATAAATGGTGGAAAAGAGCAGGTTGTTACCATAAGAGATTTATGAGAAGGATAGTTGGAGGTTTCATACCTTTCACCCTAATTTATGAATAAACTAATCAAATTACAATTAATCTCATCTAGTATTATCAGGATCACAAATGATGCAAATTGTGTGCACTTCACTGTATTTGCTGTTCAGCAAAGTGACCGAAGCATTCGTAAAATACTAAGTAAATGCACACCAAGTACATGAGTAATGATTTCCTTTATGTAAAGTCTGGTAGTATTTGATGTTTGGTTCTGATTTAATTCTGAAAGTGAAAAAAGTTACTTAAAAACTGTTCAAGCTAATCCATTCTCTGAAAATAGAATTTTCTCTCCTTGGCATCAAGGTGTTTTTCAATCCTGTGCTTTATATAGCTCAGATTTACATTGTGTTTCTGTGTCTCTTTAATCCATACATGACTAAGATGTATTTCTGCAGGTTACAAATAAACCCTCTTCACTGCACAGAATCGGCTACTTTTATTGGATATTTATGAATCATTTGCAGCTAGCGGTGAGAGAAGAACTAAAAAATAATAGTATGCGATAAACTATGGTTATGACTAACACAAAGGGAGTGAGTGAGTGAATTTAGTTTTACGCCACAATCGAGTCTGGACCAGACAAATCCAGTGATCAACAGCATGAGCATCGATCTGCACAATTGGGAACCGATGACATGTGTCAACCAAGTCAGCGAGCCTGACCACCGATCCCGTTAGTCGCCTCTTACGACAAGCATGGGTTACTGAAGATCAATATTCTAACCCGGACCTTCACGGGTTCTAACACAAAGGGACCACAAACTGAACTTTGTTATGCACATTTCAGCTAACTTATACAGCAAGTGACAAAAAGAGTTCAATATAAGCGAGTTTGTTATATGCATAGTCTACTGTATGTAAATATAAGATTTAAACAAAAAATAGACAAAAGAGAGTTATTCATTTTTTTTCTTTTCAGGCCACGTAGCACACCGTCCACAGCTGTGTTCCAGTCAACATGAAGGTGAGGTTTGTCTTTTCTCGGTGGAGACAGATAGGTGCATTTGTCATCACCTTGAACACAATATCACAGTGAACACATTAACATCATGAATCACCCAGATCACATTATCATCATACACAATCAAATCATCCTCAACACAATGTCGTCCTAAACTCAATATATAGGCTGTTTGATTATGTTTTTGTTTAAAGTGAAATTCATCGGTACGTTTTCACTGCAAAGAGATTATAATCCTAAACACAATATCATCATGCACACAATATCATCATGCACACAATATCATCCTAAACACAATATCATCATGCACACAATATCATCCTGAAACCCATTGTCATCATGCTCACAATATCATCATGCTCACAATATCATCATGCTCACAATATCATCCTAAACACAATATCATCATGCACACAATATCATCCTAAACACAATATCATCATGCACACAATATCATCATGCACACAATATTATCATACTCACAATATCATCCTCAACACAATATCATCCTCAACACAATATCACCATGTACACAATTTCATCGTCAATGCAATATCATCATGCACACAATATCATCCTTAGCACATTTCTATGGTGTCCCCCGCCGTGAAATTGCTGGAACATTGCTAAAAGCAGCGTAAAACCCAACTCTGTCACTCACTCACTCAATTTCATCCAATATCATCATGCACACAATATCATCCTCAACACAATATCACCATGCACACAATATCATCCACAACACAATATCATCATGCACAGAATTTCATCCACAACAAAATATCACCATGCACAGAATTTCATCCCTCAACAAAAATATCACCATGCACAGAATTTCATCCACAACACAATATTATCATGCACACAATATCATCCACTACACAATATCATCATGCACAATATCATCCTAAACACAATATCATCATGCACACAATATCATCATGCACACAATATCATCCTGAACACAATATCATCATACTCACAATATCATCCTCAACACAATATCACCATGTACACAATTTCATCGTCAATGCAATATCATCATGCACACAATATCATCCTTAGCACATTTCTATGGTGTCCCCCGCCGTGAAATTGCTGGAACATTGCTAAAAGCAGCGTAAAACCCAACTCTGTCACTCACTCACTCAATTTCATCCTTAACAGAATATCATCATGCACACAATATCATCCTCAACACAATATCACCATGCACACAATATCATCCACAACACAATATCATCATGCACAGAATTTCATCCACAACAAAATATCACCATGCACAGAATTTCATCCTCAACAAAATATCACCATGCACAGAATTTCATCCACAACACAATATTATCATGCACACAATATCATCCACTACACAATATCATCATGCACAGAATTTCATCCTAAACACAATATCACCATGCACACAATATCATAGAGAACACATTATCATCAGTAACACATCATCATGTGCTCAATTTTGTCATAATGGACACTGTATGACCATACAAATATATCATAATGAACTTAGCATTGAATTGAAAGCTATAATTTGTATGCTTCTCTCGAGGGTAATACGGTCTGATGTACGCCTCTTTGTAGCAGTGTCACCCAAGCAGGTTATTGTATAACCACACAATGTATAAAATAGCTTTAATAAAGCAGTGAAAGTCACTCACTCACTCACTCACTCACTCACTCACTCACTCACTCACTCACTCACTCACTCACTCACTCACTCACTCACTCACTCACTCACTCACTCACTCACTCACTCACTCACTCACTCACTCACTCACTGAGTTTTTACTCAAATTTGAGAAAACAGAGGAAAATGCATTTCCCAGAATGAACTGAAATCGATATTAAACTCAAACATGGTAGACAATTTGAGTTTGGTGGATAGATTACTTAAGTTGTATGGGCCTTTTAATTTTTAAAATGCAGTTGAGTTAAAAATTCATCTGTTTCAAATTGTCAAACTCAGTTTGAAATTTGAGTAAAAACTTTGAGAAATCGGGGCCAGATTAGCTTGGATAGTTGTAGATCATGAGATGCGGATATGAATTCATCATCCTGTTAGGGCTTTCTTGTTGGAGTTGAGTTAAAAGTTGGAATGAGATAATAAAGAACAGATATATAATATTGACTATTTTAATGATAAAAAATAAGAACTATTTCATAAATGACATGCAAACTGTGATAATGCAAATTTTATGATAATATCACAAAAGACAGTAACAAGTCTATCAATTTCATCATAGATACCAGATATCCTAAGAGTGCACATGTTGAATATTCTGAAGTTACTCTAGTTATGTTCCTGTCTGATTGGCTGGCACAGATGTGCGAACCAATCAGAAAAGTCTTTCCAGTGGTTCCTTCCTACCAGGATATAATTTGCTGCTTTTCTTATACAGTCGGAAGCGATTCCAGTAATGAAATGATAAAGCGTAATATTATCGTTCTACCACAACATCTGTAACTGATAAGAGGGAGCTTCCTGTGGCTTTGTCCTTGAGTAAATTAGACAAGGCTGTATCAGGATATTATTTCCCGACCTCTAGTACATTTTTCCTTTCGGATATTGTTATAAAATTTCTCATATTTTTGAAAAATGAATCTATTTACTTATAAATTAATTTCAGCTTTAATAATTTATTCATAAAAAAATAATTGCATGATAAAGAGGACTAAAAAATCAAAATGAAGATTTCCTAATTGCTTTAACACATATATAAAATCTACGGGAAATTACTTGACAACTCTAAGCAGTGAAATAGGATTTGACAAGTGTTTATATGTGTGCTTTTCTAGAAAATCATGAACTCTAGACAGACACGCTATTATCATAGTTTAACATGCTGAAAAAAGATCTAGCCACAAGACAAAAAGCTGCTAGGTAAGCATCTCAAAAATTAAATCCCCCAAAACTAACAATGAGTATTTCCTGCAAGCTGGTTAAGCTGATGAAAGATAAGTATCCAGCTTTTGTAATATTTGGAATATTTATAGTAGCTTGTGTTTAAGCCCCACTCTGTTAGATCAGTTTGGGATCTATGTGCTGTCGACCCTGTGTGGAGAATAAGGCTGATTTGCCACCGACTGAGCTGGTTTCACACAACTTACGTCAATATTTTATTCTTGTGCGAGTGTTCCGAAAGTTGAGGGAATATGGTTTCTGTTTTTGAGATGCTGGAGGGAATATGGTGATATTGAGGTACGTGTTATTACGATGGCGATTTGTGAATGAAGATGGTTGTGAAGTATTTCTGGATCGTTTGTTTAAAAGGTTATATACACATAACCGACTTCTGTGTTCGTGAAAAGGTTTTGGGGTTAAGGAGATCAGACTTTTGTATCTTTCAAAGTGGTACAAAGATAGAAAACTGTAAGTATCAATTATTAAAATATCTTTGTTTAAATTATTGACTATCTTGCTAAAACATTTTAATAACTCTTATGATATCAACAAACTTAGAGAAAATATTGTTGTTTTATGTATTTATGAAAGACAACTATACTTGATCATCTGTCGAAACAGATTAAATTGGATTTAAAGGAAAAATTTAAAACCCTTAAAAGTTTTATAAATGGATCACTAAAAGATATTTCCATGTTGTCTGTTTGCTTTGAGGGGCACAGGTGGCCAAGTTGTCTAAAGCGCCAGTATTTGCTGTGAAGAGATGGGATGCTTAGACATGGATTGTGGGTTTCACCAAAGTAGTAAATGCCTGAGACCTGCATAACTTAGGGTTTACCTCCCCTAGGAGTTATAATCCAAGACGTTCATTGATTAGGATTCTGGAGTGCCAGCACTATCTACATGCTCATGGTCTTTACCAAGATGGTAGTCTCTTAAATCCGGCATTGTTTTGAGATTTTCCCCACAATTAACTTCTTAACTTTTCTGAGTGGCATTTATAATTTTGGTAAGATGAACAATGGGGTAATTTCTCTGGATATACTTCTTTAATAATGAAGTAGTGTATCCATAGAACTTACCATGTTGTTTAAATTAGCTTCTTCATTTGAAATAATTAGTTATGTTTAAAACAGTGTTAAAACTAGCTCACTCACCTATTATAATTCAAGGATACTGTTTAGCGATTAAATGCAATGTTAACTGTAGATTTTGCTAAAGGGAATGATTAAGGATCTGTCTTTGTCGATGTTCAGATAAAATCAGCTCATAATATATGAACTGGGCAAGTCTTCAGAAAATCTGGCAGGAATCCCAAGATATTGATGAAACAAAGAGCATATAAAGTAGAAGAATGTTTTTACACATAATAACGTTATATGTCCATATCCAAGCACTAGATGAACCTTCCATCATTGCTATGCCCTCCCAGGACCACACTGCCAAAACAACCATCCCCATTCTCTGTTGTAAATGTGGATCCGTTTGTAATCTCTTGTTTAGTAGTCATGGTGATTAGATTGGATTTATTTTAAGCTTTCTTCTGTAGATCCTGTGTGCACAGCAATCTGAACAATTCTCAATCAATGGTTGGTAATCTTGAAATACTTGTTGGATTGATTCGGTAATGCGTTTCCAAACAGTGAATCCTTTTCTGTCTCAGGTGACCACTTCAAAACAATAAAGAGATTAAACTGATTTGACTGGCTCTGTAAGTACTTCCTTTTCTTTACAGTCCAAGAAGAATTTTCAATCATTTGGTCAATAAAGTTAGAATCTATGATTGTCTTTCTTAAAACTTTTTCATTTGAATGGTAATTTGGAAATTACAAAATGTACACTTTTCAAACTCTGTATTTTTTCACCACTGTTCTTGACCCAAGTACCCGTGAACATCCGGATTAGAATTGGTCTTTAGTAACCCATGCTTGTTGTAAGAGGCAACTAACGGGATCGGGTGGTCAGGCACGCTGACTTGGTTGACACATGTCATCGGTTCCCAATTCGTAGATCAATGCTCATGATGTTCATCACTGGGTTGTCTGGTCCAGACTTGATTACTTGCAGACTGCCCCAATATAGCTGG